CTATAACTCTCCCCCCCTGCTGTGTCCCTGTAACCCCCCCTTCATCCTGTCACTATGCCCCCCTTGTAACTGCCCTGCCTCTGTTGCTTGTCCTGTAATTCCCCTTCATCTCCTCACTCCGCCTCCCTTGTAGCCCCCGCCTCATGCCCTGTAGCTCCCCCTTCATCTCCTCCCTCTGCCCCCCACAAGCTCCCTGCCCCTCCTTCGTCCCCTGTAACTCCTTTGCCTGTGCCGTGTCCCCTATAATTCCCCTTCATCCCCTCACTCCTCTCTCCTACAACTCCTCTGCTGACTCTGTCCCTTGTTATCCACTGTCTGTGCTGTGTGCTCTGTAACCCCCTTCATCCTTTCAGTCTTCCCCCCCCCATACAACCATCCCCCCTCCCCGTGCCCTGTAACTTCCCATCACTCTGCCCCCCCCTTGTAACCCTCTGCATGTGCCCTGTAATCAGTGTTTCCTGTTAAGGCATGCACATGCGCGCATCAAGCATTTCAGTCCCACTCACCTTGTCAGCAGAGCCCTTTAGCTGCTCCCAGGGGATGGGGCCATGTGACGGTTGGCTTCCTTACCCCAGGAGCAGTGGGGTGCATGCCAGACCTGGAGCCTGGGCCATAGTACTAAAAATAGCACTGTGGCTTCGGTTCCAGTTCTGGCACATGGAGGCCTGCCTCTACCGAGTGGGCTGCTGGTGGTGAGTGCTACTACCCACTCTCCGACGTGCAGAGCACACCTGTCTGCAGAGGTTTAACGTGGGTTAGAGGAGAGCACTGTGTCGTCCTTCACCCAGAGTTCTTGGCTCCTGTGACAACAGTGGCTCTTGGCTGGTATGAGCTGCTTGGTACAGACCTCTTCCCCTATGGTCTCCAGTGTGCAAGCACTTGGCTCTGTGCCCCCAGAGGACTGGCTGCTCTGCGCCGGCAACAAGGGCTATTCCCTTCCTGTACTCTGGAAGAGGGATGCTTTGCCAGAGAGATTTCCTTTCCTTACTTCAGGATAGGGTGTACTTTATTATTTGTCTTGCTGAGGGGCTTGTTGAATGCTGGCTGCCAGCCCTAGGATATCTGCAGGAGTAATATTCAGCCAGGTTGGAAGATAGGGCTTGTTCCTGTTTCTGTACACTTTAGTAATGAAGTTGCTGGATAGGAAATTCTCTGGTGGATTTTTATTTATAGTATGCGGAATAAAATAATATGGTAACAGCATTGGCTGCAGCATGAGGGGGTTGAGGAGTGCTGGTGTCAAGAAGGCAGAAAGGGTGAGGGAAGGGGTAGAGGGAGAACTGTGGGGAAGTTGGGGGTGAGGAGAGGAAGGGGCTTGTGCTAAGGGGAGAGGAGAGGGCCAGGGCAGGAGAAAAAAGGGAGACGGCACCAAGGGGTAGGGGCAAGGTGGAAGAGACACAAATGACGGGGCTAAGAGGAGACAATGAGGGGAAAGGGCGTGGGAGAGAGAGGATGGGAAGGTGTCACTGAGGTGTCAGTGGGATTTCCCTTCCTCCCCTGCTGTCTATCATGCCTACCTAGTAGTAAGGATGTTAATGTCTACTTGTGTATATAATTAACTGATAAGCCTTGGTTCATTAGTTAACCTGTATGATTACGTGACCTTCCCACTGCCCCTATATCTGAGGAAGCTGGGTGTGTGTGAGTTGGTGCTCATGGGGAGCTGGCTTAAAAGTTTAACCGCTGAAAATTTCAGCAGTTACATATTTACAAAAACAAATGTTTAACATCCCTACCCTGGAACATCATTCATACCATTCCTCTCCATCCTGCCGGCCCTATCCTGGAATGCTTGTCCTTATTCTGCAAATCCAGCCCACCCTGTGACTTTTCCTCAGCCCCCTGCCTCATCCTGCCTGAACTTGAAACCCTAAGATCACCACATACCATCCTGCTTGCCTTACAAGCTGCCATGATCCTACTTCCCCAATAACTTCCTCTTACTACTCCATGCTGTAACCTCCTCATAGTGCCCTCAGTTTCCTGCTTACCCTATACATCCCATCTTCTCACTGCTGTTCTCTATATCCTCTCCTTTTACCACATTACATTCTCTCATACTATTCCTTCTCCATATTACACTCTGCCACAACATACTGCCCTCCATTTCTAATATTGCCTACTTATTTATCCATACTGCTACTCCAACCTGCCCTGTGCCCCATCCCCATTTTCACTGACACTTATCCATTTTAGCTCATTGCAGGAGTACATGATGTGCATAGGAGAGCTACCTATGCCTCCATAAAACCATCTCAGGTGCTACAATTAACCTTACACAAATAAGTGATAGTGTACAGAGGACACATTGCATCCCTATACTTCTGTACTCTACCTATGTAGTACTCCCATGCTGCTACATCCTGCTTTCCACCAATTAAATAAAGGAGTACACAGTATGTACGTGTCCTGCCACCCCTTACCAAGCTGTCCTACAATAGAACTCATTTCTCTCCACAGCCAATAGTATGTACAGAGTGCATATATTCCTTTCGTACCTCCCCAAATTCTCTCTTCATGCTATCCCAAGTATTGTCCCATACGCCTTTTTCTTCCCCATAGTCAAATGCAGGGGTACACTGAGCATATGAGTATTGTCTACTACCTGGACTGCTCCAAGCTCCCCTATGAAACAACCAAATGCAGAGAACTAGTAAGGATCCCACACATACTGTTGCGTGGGATCCTTACCAGTTGAGGTATACATGGGTGCTGTGATGTGGAGATAGCATGCACCTTTGACTGCAATAGTCTATGTAAGGGGGGCATACCATTTCATCCTGTTCCATGCCACCTTAAAGTTTACAAAAATATGTGCAAAGATACCAGATTATATTTGAAAATTAATCTCTAGAATAAGAATATGATTTCATAATCTAGTTAACTGTGGTGGCGTATTTTTCAATTTTATTGGATAGCAATGTTAAGTTTGGGTGGGTTGTGAAAATCAGGTGGCATGGTAGTGAATGGATTATTTGGCAGTGGGGACTTGACCTGGATTAGGGATGTAAGCGAGTGGTCGACTACCCAGTAACTATATGTTTATGAGGTAGTCAAGTAGTGACTAAACTAGTTGCTTCTCCCTTTTCCCCCCTTGCTGCCTCTATCAGAGAGAGATGTGGGGGTGGGCGTGGGGAGCAGGAGCTGGTGCTGTGGGGAGCTGGCTTAAAAGCCGGTTCCTCCCAGCAATGTCTCTATGGGGGATGGGAGGCAGAGGCATCCTGACTGCTGCGCCTCTCCCTTTGAAATGTACAAGGATGGCTCTTAGGGTACATCTAGACTACATGCCTCTTTTGCCACTTCATTTAAATTTACATGGCTGCCGCGCTGAGCCGACAAACAGCCGATCAACTGTTTGTCGGCTCAGTGCGGCAGCCATTTACATTTAAATGAGGCCGCGATTATTTAAATCGCAGCTTCATTTCCCTTTGCTGATCAGCCTAATCTACATGGCTCCATCGATGGAGTCATGTAGTTTAGCCACACCCTTAGATTGAGGTCTTCAGCGCTGAGCCGACAAACAGTTGATCGGCTGTTTGTCGGCTCAGCGCGGCAGCCATGTAAATTTAAATGAAGCGGCGATTATTTAAATCGCTGCTTCATTTTCCTATGCCTGGTAGCCTAATCTACGTGCCTCTGGTGACAGAGGCATGTAGTCTAGACATACCCTTACACATTTCAAAGGGAGAGGTGTAGCAGTTGGGACCCCACGTGAGCAGGGACTGCTTCTTCCCCATTCATGCTGCTTCTGCTTTATGCCTCTGCCTTTGAAATATACAATAGTTGTCAGTGGATCTTGTACATTTCAAAGGCAGAAGTGAAACAGGATAGCAAGCGCTCTCCCCTCCACACCCCCATTGACTAATTGATTAGTCAATAGAAATTCCATCAGTTATTCAATTAGTTGGGATGTTAAATTTCAGTTGACCTAGAATGAATCCCTTGAGTACTCATTTTCTAAAAGGATATGCAGGGGACCTGTCCTGGTCCAGCAAATCCCCTTGGGACTGGTTAGATCCTGAGAATCCTGGAGCAGGGAGGTTCAACCTGTACAGGGAAAGGCTCCAGAAGCCGGGCAAGACTGTGTTGGGGGAAGCAGTGGGTAAAAGTTTGGGGAGGTCCTTGCTGATGAAGCTTTTCCCTTTTGCAGGGAACAGGGTTTCTCATCTTCCTCTCTTCTGACTGACAGCCTTTCTTCCCTTCAGTGAAAGGCTTGGTCAGCAGGGAGCAACTGAAGCCTTTCCTGGTGCCTCCTTTC